ATTGATTTATTTATTTATTGATTTATTGATTTATTTATTTATTTATTTATTTATTTATCTATTTATTTATTTAAGCAAGTTGAAAATTCGTATCGACGAATATTTAGAATTACGAGGTTTCGAGAGGGAGGGTGGATGAGTGGCTTATTTAATCATTTAATTTATACAAAGTGGCATTTCATTTGATTTCCACGCTTTTCTTGATACCTTGATCCGCCCCTGTGCCCGGCAAGATCTTACTTTGCTACCTATCTGTGGCGTTGCGGTTCGTTTTCTCGCTTCGCCCTGAATATTCTGTCCTATTATACTTCGTATTCGTGATCCAATGAGGCAGGACGCCTGTACCCTTATACCCCCGTTCCCTATCATCCGTCATAAAATCCATACCAACTCCCCATGCCCCATCACCAATCCTACTTGATTTCCTCAATCAACATCATCAGCATTCGTCTCCACTTGCGGAGTGACCGACTTCTCATTCTCCGCCGCCCCTCCCCCATCAACACCACCACCATCACCACCATCCACCCCCTTTGGCAACCCCTCAAACGGCTTCCCACCCTCGACTCCTTCCCTCACATTGCCGTGCTCGTCGACGTCCTCCTTCAAGTACAGCGTGAACAGCACGACGAAGAGCACCGTGTCCGTCGCCCGGTCCTTAAGCGTGTATCTTAGGGAGTGTGAGCGCTTCTGCACTTTCCTGTAGGGTTGAAAAAGATGCTTGGTTGGTACGATGCGTAACAGAAAGATGTTTGATGAGATAGAATAGAGTGGGATAGGGTAGGAGGGTAGATATGGTAAGAGGAGAGAGAAGATGAGACAGGAGGAAAGGGGAAAAGGGGCAAGGGCTTACCGGAGACCTTGGCCGTCCCAGTAGTTCATGACGGGGAGCGAGAAGCCTGGGAGTCTGAGTGCGAAGTCTGGGCGGTCATTAGCGCGGCTCTCTCTCTCTCCGAGTCCCCCCCTGGTTTTGACTCTGGGTGAGCGAAAGGGGGCATAGCGAGAGAGAAGACAAACCATTGAAATCCAGATACGGGTTGTAGAAATCACACCCATACACTCTACCCTCCTCCCACTCCCACTCCTTCCTCTTGGCCTCATCCAAAAAGTGCTTCTTCCTCGCCGCCTCCCCATCTGGCACGCCCTTCTCCTTCCTCACCTCCAGTCCCTCACCATGCCCCCCTTCTTCAAACACCAGTCCTACCTCGTGATCACCCACCCCGTTGCCCATCCCATCCTCCTTCCCCTTGACCTCCACCTTCTCCCCAACATGCAGCCTGTTCACCGAGCTCGCGGCCGGCCCATAGAGGTACGGACGATCGGCATACACGTCGCCGTCCAGACCTGGGTCGATCACCCATTTCACAATGCGGAAGGCTGTGTTAAAGCCCGGCGGCAGGCGATCGCGAATAGGATGGTCGAAGTCGTTGCCGAAGACCAGGGCGTCACCGCCAATGGAGCGCTTGGGCCGGAAACGGAACGCGATGCTGTACTGGTCGTTGTTCTTGTCGTGCGGGGGGAGGGAGAAGTAGGGGGACGTTGTGGGCGAGGAGGGAGGGAGGCCGCGATAGGACTTGTGTCTGTTAGTCACGAAGCTTGTGGGAAGCGCGTATGTGGGCACGCGGATGAGGGATCTATGAAAAGCTCGGAAGGGATGGGAAGAGAGAAGTACGTACCTGGATTCGGACGTTGAGGTCGACGGTGATATGCTCGGTGTCGATTGTAATAGGGCTGGCATCGTTGACAGGGACTATCTGATGCGTCTTTGTATCGTATGCTGGGCCTGCTGTTACCCGCAAGACGTAATTATGCGCCATATCTGGTCCAGATGCTGCTGCTGCTGCTGCTGTTGTGGTTGGGGTTGTGGTTGTGGTTGTGGTTGTGATTGTTGTTGTGTTGAAGACTCCAAAGTTGAGCAGATGTTTTCAGTTCTGGATGAAGAACAAGCAAGGAATTACGATTTTGCCGGCTTGGAAGGCGGTGTGGCACGATACGTCACTGACTGGACTTTCTGCCCCTGTCGAGCAGGAAAAGCTTGTGCAGCCAGATCTTTACCGGAACTAATCCTGTACGACAGCCGCGAGCCCCGAGCCCCGAGCCCCGAGCCCGCAGGTTCACTGTCAGCGCACTGACTATCATGAGGTACGGAGATGGAGAGAGCTCCAGGGCTACACCTCCCAAGATTGAGGACAGTATGTAAAAGGGGTTGAATGGAATTGATTTGCATCCATGGCTCTATTATTCGTTGCTTCGGCATTTCCATCTTGGGAAACTCAAAAGGCCATTCCATTAATCGATTAGATAGGTATAACGAACGCGATTCTCATCCCTGCCCAGTATGGCGTGTAACATTGAGCATAGTATCCTCCGGTTGCATTCCGCTCTCGAAATTTCGTGACTCATTCGACATCATTCAACGGAGACAGGAACCTATCAAGGTCGACCCGTTGGAAAAAGCTGATGTGTCCGAAGCCAACCCAGTATTGAGCCAGCAGATCGGGCGAGACCAGGATCAGCTGGCTCTCGATGTATTTGTCTGGGGACTCGTTAGATCTCTTCCCACATCAATCGGGGAGCGCCGGACTCACCATTCCTAAACATCCTAGCCGCAATGTGACCGCGACTCTTCACGATCCTCGCACCTTTGAATCTCGGCTCCGTTGCGTTCCGGATAAAGCCAGCCTGGGATATATCATCCGAGATGAACGTGTACTCTCCTCGCGGCACGTTCGGATCCCCAGTCAGTTTGATGGCCTCAATGCTCCCTCGGAACACCTTCTCCTCAAATTTCCTCGTCTTGAACTCCTCCGGCGTCTCGTCTTCTCGTTGCACCAGACTGGCTTCGTCAAACGGCTCCGGATCATCAGGCTGATGCATCAGCAAGAACTCGCATCCGTGGCCGCTGTAATCGCCCACCCAGATACCTCGATATGGTTTCTCCTCCGTAGGTGTGTACAGCTTGGGATCGAGGGTAGCGTAGGTATAAATCTCTTCTCCGAGATGCATGCCAGGGGTGCTGGAGCCGGCCACCATCTCCATCCATCTCCTGATGCGGAAAGCCTGGTTGCTCATCTCCGCGCGCTTCTGTGGCTTGTGTCCTGATCCTACAAAGGCCTCCCGACTTGTATTACGGACGCGATGTCTCGCTGGGATGTTGGGCGGTGGCCAGAGCTGCATGCTGTTGCGCTCCTGGACCGGACGAGTGAGGATGAAGTTGGAGAAGACGCCCCGTTGGTTCCCCTCGAGGATCTTCATGGGCCTCTCGGCATTATATCGATGGGCTGGTCCAGTTCGAGCGGACGATGCCATCGACGACTCGGAGGAGAGGGCGTCGAGCCGAAGAACCGGCTGATCCAGGTGCAGACGGACATGCGGGTTGAACTCATGGATCAAAACCTCGTCGTCGTACTCCCAGGAAACAAAGGTCGGCGGGGGCCGCACCGCGGCGAGTGGGTATCCCTCGATCGAGCCCCGTCGCGGATCATATCGGGCAATAATCAGCTTGCCCGTTAGGAGGTAATCGCAGAACCAAATCTTGTATTTAGGGAGGAACCAGTGCGGATCGTGGGCAATATACAGCTGTTGGTAGGTCTCGCAAGGGTAGGGGGAGGTCAAGCGAACGCCTGGTATGTTGTCCTGGACATGGCGCAGCCACGAGAGATCGGATTTGGCATGCTCGGCAAGGAGTCGGCACGTCGAGGAGACGGCCACCAAGTCGATGGGAGCGAGAAACGAGACGACGTGGTCGATCAACTCGGAGGGGAGGTCCAGTATATGACACTGGGTAGACATGGCTCTGTTGGGCGAAGCTAGAGAAATGAATCGGGGCGAGTCAGCATGTGTTTGTTGAAAATCTGCAGAGGGTGGTTGAGGAAGATGGAGATCGTGGAGAGAAGCGGGGCCGGAAGCGGAAGCGGGGGCGGAAGCGGACGCGGAAGCGGATGTGGATGTGGAGGTGGAGGTGGAGGTGGAGGTGGATGTTGGTATAGATGTTGGTATAGATGTTGGTATAGATGTAGATGTAGATGTAGATGTAGATGTAGATGTAGATGTAGATGTAGATGTAGATGTAGATGTAGGTGTTGGTATAGATGCGCACAATTTCATTCTCATCGACGGCAAGAAGTCATGTCAACGTACATTCTCGACCTTGAGTGCCACAAGGCGTCGGCAAAGGGTTGTCAGACCCGCTGCTGTTGTCGTCGCCGAGAGGCACCAGCGCGTGCCATTGCCGATGCTCCATCTCAGGGGCCTCGACCGCTATGGAGTCGATGACGCGGTCATAGTCCTGCTCGACTCCTGGATCGACGCCCCCGTGCAGATATTCGAAGTCGTTGTCCAGGAGCCAGCCGTCCCCTCCGGCCGAAGGTGTGGTGGCCATGCTTGCGCGACGTTCCCGCTGCAACAACATCAGCTTTGGCGGGTTCGCGTAATGCGTTACAAATGGACGTAAGTAGTGCAGTTGAGTGGTCGTCGGTTTATGCTTTAAGGATGTCTCGGCTGCGACGGTCTGACGGACGGTTGGGTGGCTGGATCACGAGGTTCCGGTCAGGTGAAGATGATATAGGTGAGGATGATACAGATGGGGGATGGGGGATGAGATATGAGGGATGAGAAATGAGAAATGAGAAACGAGGGTGCGAGCGAGGAGGGATGGGAGAAGGCGAGGACTGGCTCTCTCTTCTTGTATGTTCGTTCGAGCCAACCGGTCTCCTGCAGATGCGCCACCCAAGGGCTCCAATGTAAAAGCGTGGGTTCTCCGCGGTGGCGGCCGGATGGCATCAGATTCGCCCGGCGGGCTGAAACTTGGCCGACGATGACCTGGAGCTGAGCTGGGCTGGGCTGACATAGAATGCTCGTCCAGAAAGGCAGGTGGAAGGTATATAGGTAGGTAGGTAGATAGGTAGGTCAGTAGGTAGGTCAGTAGGTACTTCGGTAGTTATGCAGGGCATCATGACCATCATGATACCAATAACAACAATGATAATAATCATCATCATCCAAAGGTAACGATCCCAAGTGATCGATCCCAAGGCAACATTCTTCGTAGCGACAACTACTTCAGCTTTACCACCAGTCCCACGATCATTGCATATGCGTGGCACATCAGATCCGAAGGGATCTTCGTCCTCTCCTGTATAAAAGTATCGAGAAGCAGTCAGTCCAGGCTCGGGATAACTTGATGCGTATCCATATACAATACAAATACACCTGACCGGTACTCTTGCTTCATTTGACAACTTTTCGACTCGTAAACACGTACCTACCTACTTGCGTTCCTCTTGGCTCTAGCTAAAACGACCTCGGTAGGCTTTTGGACTTGTGTTACCACATGTCTGCATGGAACAAGCGGTGCCACCGCCAATCACTAGATACGGTATCTAGACACGACTGGATAGCTACCGGTACCGAGTGGTTCCACCGCTCAGAGTTAGCCAGGTAAGGTAGCTAGCACCTACATCATAGCCGCCCGAAGCTACCGTATATATATAAGACGCTAACATGAATTATATGGTATTCTACATTACCAACTCTCCAATACCAATAAACAACAACCAACAACCAACAACCAACCGCACAAGCCGGCGGACATGGCTCCCAATCCCATCCTATCCAATCCCATCCGAGATAAGTATCGCAAGTCAAACGCGGGGAAGCAAGTCAATGACGTCCCGTAACGTCATCCCACTTCTCCCACTTCTCCCACTTCTCCCTCTCCTCCCTCTCCTCCCCCTCTCCAAAACAAAGAGACAATCCCCACCCCCCCATTCTTTTTTCAACCCCCCTCGCCGCATCGCCAAATTCGAAATTCAACATTCGACTCAACCTTTTCCCCATCCTCAAGGATATCATTCCCGTATAATGCAGAAGCCCGTCTACGTACGCACAGCCGCCGACGTTGACGCCGGGAAGCAGGGGACGGGCGGCCAGACGGATGGCATGCAGAGGAAGGACGCGATTGTGAACAAGTGCAGCTCGCTGTGCGCTTCTGGTAAGCTGCAAGCAAGCAAGCAAGCAAGCCTCTCTCTAGAAATCCCTTTTTTATATATATATTCTTTTCTTCTTTCTGTGGCCCTGGAGGTGGTCAGTTAGTCATGCTTCACTCTGGACTCTGGCATCTATGTGCATCCGTATCTTTTTAAATCCATCTTATCCTGAGGTGTGTGCGCGTTGTCTCATCATTCGGAAATGCCGAGCATGTATCCCTTCCTTCCTGCCCATCCAGATGTGGTGGATGTATTTCCTCCACGACCTAGCTTTACCGATCTCCTTCGTCCAGTTGAACGAAGTGAACAATGCGAGAGGGTTGTTCGTGAGAATATGTACCTGGCTCATCCATTCGAGATGGAAAAAGGAGTGGACCTTGGACCTTCGTGTGGGTGTTCTCGGTCCAGTGGATCAGACCTCGCCTGGCTACTGGGCTACTGGAGCGCAAGATTCGCTTAGAGCTTGTTTACCAAACCCTCCTCCTGCCTTGGATCGAAATCACAATTTCCATTCTCTCACTCACACCCTCACAACCCTCACACCCATCCCTTCTCTCCCATCACATCTCTTCCCATCTCACCTCTCCTCACCAACTCCCCCCACCAAAAAAACAAAACAAAAAACAAAAAAACTAACACCCCCAACCCCCTCCAGTAATGACCGCCGCGCCCCACACCTCCAGCGCGGTGCACCACCACGGCGAGCAAGACACCATCGTGTACGTCGCCGGCGGGCACGGCGCCATCCTCTCCGACGACGGCGCCACCCGGCAGGAGCTCGGCCCCGGCGACTTCGCCCTCATCCCCGCCTGGACCGAGCACCAGGAGGTCAACGACGGCGACGTCGAGCTGACCTGGATCATCACCCGCAGCGGCAGCGAGCCCGTCGTCGTCAACCTCGACGGCTGGGCCGGCCAGATGAAGCAGAGGGAGGAGAGTACGTTACTTTTCTTTATGCCATCTCATCCTATCTCCATCCCCATCCCCATCCTTTATCCCCCCCCTCCCTCCCTCCCTCCTCCTCCTCCCTCCCTCCCTACCTACCACCACACACACACACAC